CTAATTAAAGGCAATTAAAGATTTGCAGACACAAATAAAAGACAATGAATTGAGGAATAAGTGTAGGAGCAAGTCCATTTGCAGGTGAAAAGAAGTGCCTTTGAAGCAGAACCAGCTGTATTTTCATTGAAAGAATAACAGTTTAGGAAGCTTTTCTGCATGTGCTTGCTTGATAGCATAATGTACTCATAAGCAGCTTACACAGTACAGTATTCAGAAAATAGCAGTGCATTAATTTTTAAAGTAGCAAATGCAGGCGAAGAGCAATGCTGCCACATGATGATAATGAAGGTGGATATGGTAAAGTCTACTGAGAGAAAGGAAAGCAGGGACCTCCCGAAATGTGAACATTTATAAAACAATAACTAGATATTCATATGATAATAAGCTTGGACAGCAGCATCAACAAAGGCCAAAGATGCAGTCCTGTTTCTGCTTAAGTCTGATGAATTGAAAAACAGAGAGGCAGTCCTTAGTCTGTTATTCAATTCCAGTAATGGGGTATTGTTAGAATGAAAGAGTAAATATCTAGAAGGGTTGGGAATCTAATTTTTTTTCTCATTATGTTATTCTATAGATTTGTTCAGGTTGTATCTTAAACAGCACCATCTTTAAACATAATCTTAAATGTAGTCAGTTTTCTTAAATATGGTGCTCAGCATGTTACATTCTCAGTTACATGTATAACAGAGCTTGGTATGTATGCAAAAGTACAGTGTTGTGCATACTACTTCGTAACGTCACAGCATTTGTGTAGTCTAAAATAAAATGATCACTCAGAACTTAATGAACTTGTCTAGCTCATATGTATTGTTTAGTTTAAGTTTTACATTAATTATGGTGTCATTGGAGGTTTAGTTGAATACTGAATATACAAGATCAGGTCATCTCTAATCTGTTATTAAAGTTATTGAATAGAAGATATATCGGATCTCAGTTTCCCTTGTGAATAGAGATAAATCACAAATTGTTGTGAAACCCATAGATTTTTAATCTTGGTTACATCAGGAGAAACAAACTCAGGCTGCATATTATATGAATCCCTAATATTTGCTCTGAGAAAGACACTTTGGCATTTTTCACAATACAGCTGTTTAGTAGCTCAAAAGTCCCTATATTTCACCTTTATCTTCACCCTTTTTTACTCCTACAGCTAGTAGAATAGTCTTCATTTCTACCTGTGGAAAGTTTTCCAAGCAGGATCCATATACAGGGCACAACTCAATTCAGCTGCTCCTGTGGTCACTTTGTCACACAAAGGAGTGGAAAAAACTGTGCAAGAAGGATGGGACTTCCTCCTGTGGGCAGAATGGGGCAGGATGAAAGGTGAGCTCTGGAGAGCTTCCAAAGGGCAAAGGCAACTTTGAGCACTGAAATGGAAGGGTGGATCATCTTTGCATCTGGTCTTGGGAGGGACTGGCATGAGGCAGGACAAGCAGAGAAATGGCAGTAGAGAAAAATTGCCTAAAGTTCTTTGGCCTTAAAAATAGAAAGAAAGTGATTAACTTGTGAAAAGTTGTGAAGAAAGAAGTGGCAATTTTTATTTTTTTTTTTAATGGAAATTGGTGTAGTTATAAACAAAAGTTCAGGAAAGCTGACACAGGAGTTTGAGAGAAGAGATGAGATAATGAATTGATAACAATAATGAGAAGTAGAAGAGGAAAGGATTTTGCTTAAGTAATAAAAAAAGTAAGATTTGGTCTGGAAATTTTCCAATTCTATCTTTTTGGCTTCTTCTTGCCTTCATATGTTCCATCGGGAAAACTCAGTGTCTTGAATAGACATTGGGTAAAGCAGACAAATGGGGCTTTGTCTGATGAGTCTGTCTTAACTGGCTTTGACGGTCACTTCCTGGGAAGAAGAAACAGCTTAAGCTGATGACTCTGACAGATAAAAGTACAAGAGAGCTTGCAGGATAAGTGAGATAAAACTAGAAGACATTGGGAGTGTGAATATACGTATTCCAACTGGTTGAATCTGCAGGCCCAGAAGAACGTAAGAAGCCTGTATTATTTATTTCTGCTTGTTTTCCAGGTGGCAATGATCAGTATTCACGTGGTAGGGGCTTTGCGTTCCATAGTTCTTTATAGTCCTGTAGTGCAGATGTCTTTCGCAAGGCCTCGGAAAGTTCAGATGTTTTTAAGAGTCTTTTAGTACAATTGCTGAATCTGGTTTTCATTACAAAGAACTGCACAGATGCCCTTTTTAAACTTTTGCACTTGGTGGACTCAGACTGTTTCCCAACCATATTTTTTTTTTTCCCTGTTGGCTATCACATTTAGCAAGGAGAGTGGTAAATTAATGGCAGGTGCATAGATTTGGAGAACTACCAGCTCTAGAGTCATTATTAAAATAGCCTATTTGTTATGTAGGAGGCTTAGTTGTTCATATCAGATTTAATACATATCTGAAAGTATTCTCTAGATAAGTAGAATCCAGTCTTAGCTATAGCCACGATACTGGAATAAACAGTAGCAGAGTGCCTGAAACCAAGGGAAAGAACACCAATAAGCTTTCCCTTTTCTAAGAATAGAGTTGGTTCTGCCAATAGATGTAGTTCACAGACGGGGTCTCCTGTGCAATATCTACCCCCTGCTCATGTCACCTTCACAGTCAAAGCTTGGAGAGGATGAGGGAGAAGGGACAATGGGAGAAAGGGGAGGTGGGTTTCAGTAGCTGACTTGTTTCGCGTTCTTAATGGGCCTTACAAAGCTTTTTAGTTTTCAGTATCTAACGCCATTGCATCACTGGGAGGGAAACCTCTGACTGTCCTGCTTTATTTACCCCAGACAGGAGAGCAGCAAACCTGACTTATGAGAAGAGAAATTGAACATAGCCCTTGTCAGTTATATACTTCTAAATAAAGGTATTTTTCATGCTTTAAACATCTCAGATGGATAAATTTCTATAGTTTGTTCACAAGTAAGTAAGAACAGCTGCATCACTTTATTGAAAGTTGGCTCCCAACAAACAAACAAAAAAAATCAAGGCTGGGGTACATCTACGCCAAATTTTAGCCTGGAGTGAATTTTTATGAGTTATAAACTCCTGCCATTTATAATGGAAATTCTGACAGCTCTTTAACTATTTCATAGCAAAAATACGACTGCAGTACTTTAGGGAGAAGAAACACATTCTCTTTCGGGCTGGCTTCATCTCATGAATTAGTCATTTTGGTGGTTCCTGCAATTATTTCCCTAACTGTTCAAAAAAAGTTACTGTACTCCTGATGCATCCTGTTATCAGATATCATTGACTTCTGAAGAATAGTGCTGCAGTGGTCCTGTCCTGCAAATCAGATACACTGACTGGATGACTATATTGGAGCATCAGACATAAATAGTCATTCTGTCTTTTCTTCACTCCATCCTTTAAGAAGGTTTGTTGGATATATGCTTTTTTTTTTTTTTTTTTTTTTTTTTTTCCCAATAGACATGGTTTCAGGTATTTTTCCTTTTGTCATTGAGTATTTTCTATGTTATTTCAGGTCTTTTATGAATCATATCTGACCAAAGGATAATACGGAAATCTTCACAATATGTAATCCCTAGGGTTGAGGAGAGATTATACAATGAAAGCAAATTTGTAATGCAAGTTCAGTATCCACAATATGGTACAGAGAGGAACTCTGTACTGACTGTGAGCAGAGTGATAGAGTAGACAAAGGCAGAGGTGTGTTTCTACGAATCCAGTGTATTACTGGAGAAGACCTGTCTTTTCCAATTCATATTTCAGAATTTCACCAGTGCACTTTAATATCCCAGTTTTGAAGGTGACCATAAAATGAGAAGATTGCACTATTGATTATGAATGTGAGATCATATCTGGTTGAGCGAATGGGAGTGTTGCATACACAAACGTACTTGGCACAGATTTAGAGGAAAAGTTAAATTATTTGAATGTAGTAATAATGAAATCTAATGTACAATTAGGCAAAATTAGTGGTTTAAAAATGGTCAAACTTTTCTCCTTAAAGCATTGTAGCTCAGCTTTGGAATAGACAAAAAGGACAAAAATGCATGTATGAAATAGGGATGAAAAAATAGGACTTTTTTGGAAAGCCAAAGCACTCTACCCCACTGAGCAGTTTCATCACAGATTCCACTTTTCCCTCTCCTCCTCTTGTGCCTGTATCCATACCTTGACTTCTCTTTACTTAAAGAAGCTGTGGTTAATGGTGCATAGTACAGCAGTGACAGGCCCTTCAAACAGCAAAAATATCCCTGAGAGATATCTAGTGTTTTATGCTTTGTTATTAAGTTGAGGTAAATGATTTATGCCATTTCTAAGTACTTGCATGTCCTCCTCTGAACTCGGTTCATATGGACTCACAGCAATCAAACACTTGGCTGCACTGTTTGTAGCCGCAAGAGAGAGTCCCTGGAATTTTTTGAGAGTCCATCAAAGACACTTCTAGAAGATTCTGTGTAACATGTTTCTACAAGCAGATGGTGTGAAGCAATAATTTTATTAGTGCTTACTTGGACTGGCCTGCCTGTCCCCGAGTTCTGATACTTGCAAATAATGTGTGGGTTCAGAATGATGAAACATTTACACTCACTGTAATGTCCTGTATTACACATTTCTATATGCAGTAGGAATGACTAACCAACAAAAATTATAATGAAAATTTCATTTTGATTGAAATGTGAGGGAAAAACGCCATCCACCTTTAATCTGCTTATTTGCTGTCTGATGCTTACTGAACAATTCAATAAACATTGTACTAGTGGATGGCTATCCGTACATGTATTTTGATGTCCCTTTGGAGTAATGGTTTCTATGCTGATTTGTCAACTTTTGCTTGTTGCTATCATTGTCTGTGTCAAGGACCATTGTTCCATGGGTCAAGCCACCATCTTACAGAGTAGCTCCTGTTTAAAGTGCTGGACTGTGGGATGTTTTCAAAATGCTAGATCTGACTTTTCAGCTGAAATAATTGCTGACATTCTTTATATTCTTTTTGCATCATTTTCATTAAATGTGCTTTTCTACTCTAGGAAAGCAAGATTATAAGAAAACCAGGCCTATGTTAAGAGCTACAAGATTAAAAGCAGAGGCCAAGAAAACTACACTAGGCGTAAAGGTAGAGATCTGTTTGATAGCTTATACCACTTTTGTGTATATGTTGTTTCTTTTCCCCATAGATGTACTGTGTGAATATTGATTTCTGAGAGATATTGTTTATGACATTTCAAAATCTAAGTGGAATGCCAGAATCTAAAATATTTATGATGGATTGCTTTTACTTAACCCTAAAATAACTAAAATAGTTGAAATGCTAAAAGATTTAAAGTAGTCCATGTCCTTGTTATGATGCATACTTACTTTAAGGTCAATAAAGAACTGTATGCTTAGAAAATTGATCTTTGCAGAAAGCCTCTCTACACACAGAACAAATGCTTTAATGATTTCCTATAGTTATAAAAATTAGAATAAACATCTTCCTTCTTCCTCTTCTTATCCTATACCCAGGAGTAATTTAAAGACTGGATTTGTTAAGTATTGTAAATTTTCAGCATTATCTCAGTCTACATCCTTGTGTACTGCCTCTGACTTGGAAAAAAGGTGTACTTAGGTAGCAGCAAAACACATGGAAAGGTACTCAACTTTGTTTTAGAAATGTCCCTTTTTCAGGCAGGTATGGAGTCTAATAATGACTATTTGATCATAGCTGTGAATATGAGCAAGGAGGACAATTAGGAGTATTTTGAGCTATCTACTACCCAGTGTGTCATCAAAACAGGATTCATCTGTATGCATGTTGTTTATTTAAGTTGCATCCAGTATTTCTTCCTCAAACTTACTTTTGAATCAAATTGATAACACAGTTATCTTAGCAGCAAGGGTAAAAACAGAGCAAAATAAAAAAGTGGATCAAATACCCGGGTATTCTAATGAAAGAAACTTCAGAAATTTAAAAAGAAGAACGTTTTCTTGTTTCTGGCAGATGAGAAATCAATTTTTTCAAGTTATAGCTTATAGCAAATGCCAAGGTATTACTACCAAGCTGTAACAGCTGTTGAGCTGCCAGATGATGTATTTGGTTGTCTTCCAGAATTTGCTATTATAATCACGAAACAGTGCTTTCTTTTTGCTCCTGATTGCTGATCTCGATCAAGCATTACCATGCGATGCAGTATGTTTTCACAACATAATCTCCTCAGTTAGTGCTGTGTGTCAGGTTTTAATGAGAAAAAGTAGATTGCCTTTTTTGTTTAAAGGATAGATTGTTAACCTTTTGAGTTCAATGTTTTTTCCTTCCTTTCTTATTAAATTTTGCTATTCATTTTACTTTCAATGAAATGACCTTTTAAAAGTGATGTTCTACTTGGAGACTTTTACTATGTAGCCTAGTTCTTTTAAAATGTTCAAGTTTTTTGCATGTCTTTCACAAGTGGGAAGAATATGAACCTTGGTCCTTCAAAACTTGTTTTGTTTCCCTATTTCATGAAGTAATTCTTACTTAAAAATGAGAGAGAATAAGATAGCATATGTGTAATCATATGTATAATAAAGAATCAAATATTAGTGAGGTAAGAAGTCAAGAACAGTTTCTTTTGTACAAATATGTTCCTGCATATTATAGCAGAACACCCGCTGACTTCTAGGTAAGAATTTTGCCATCATAGCACACACATGCTCTCCTGGTCATGGGATGTTGTGTTTCTGGGGTTCTGCTAGTTGCAGTGTGTAATGTCTCAGGTTTGCAATTCTGCCTCTACCTTAAAAAAAAAAAAAAATAAAAAAAACAACCAAACAACCAACCAAAAAAAAAGAAATTCTTTAAAATATTGTGTTCCGGCTTTAATATTTTTTGCACACCTGGACATTAAAATATGACTCTGGATCATCCCAAACAGATCACAGTCATTTGCTTTGCTTCCTAATTGCTGAGGAAAGCTGACAGAACTGAAGCAGAAGGGAAGGTAAGTTGGGCACCTTTCCCTCCGGGGATATGCTTGCAGGGGAAGGAAAGCAGAGCCTTTCTATGCATCCTTCTCACAGAGCCTGCTTAATGCCAGCAACCTCAGGCTTACTAAATGTTGCAGTACTTCTACCAGAATATGGACAATCCCTGTAGAATAAAACTCTGCAATTCTACTGACAGACCCTGCAGCGCTCAGCACAGAAGCGAGACATATTTAATGTCTCGGGGTAAACCTGCACCTCTTCCCGTCTCGCACTGGCAACCTTTCGCCCTGCTTTATCCCCCCAGCTCGGCAGAGCTTCACCATGGGTTGTGGATGCGCCTGGAGTGTCTGCAGGGAGAATGCCCTCCTTACCCCAGGAGAGGCTGCTCTAGTTGTGAAGCCCCATAACCTTTCCCAAGCCCCATAACCTCTCCCCCTCTCTCAGGCAGGGCTTGTTTTGCTCAGTCCATTGTTAAGTTCCTCCAGTCGTCCAAGAGCAGTCGTCTTACCTTCATCCTCCACACCTATCCCACATACTCCTCTGTTGTCTTCTGGATAAATTTTGAAATAATTTCTTGAAGTCTTCTGCTTAGTGTGACAGCAGGGTGTTAAACCGCTCCACATGTCTGTGGCTGTCAGGACAATCAGCAGAGCTGAGGTCCCATCAGGTTACGTTCATTTGTGAAACTATTTTGAGGCTTGAGTGTGCATTCCTTTAATTGTTTCCTAATATTCCAAGCTTCTGAGTGTGCCTGAGCTCTTTCTTTGGGAAGGTATCATCACAGTTGTCACTTCATATTAACAAAGTTTTCTGATTATAAGTAACAAGATTCACCTTCCAAAGGCTGGGATTTTAATTTTTTTATATGATGTAAGGCCCTGATTCTGTGCTGTGACAGTTGATTAACTTCAATCTGTGCTGGAAAAAAAAAAAAACAGAACAGTGGGGTAACTACAGTGCAATGTAATAAGTAGGCAGCACTTTAAATAGAAATGTCTGAAGTTCTTATAAATCTTTGAGAAAACACTTACATATGTGTATTTACCATATATTTTATTTGTTTATCCAGGTTCCAGTAGATGATGCAGTATGCAGCATTTCAAAATGTATTAACATTTTCTTATAAAAAGCTAAGTTGCACTTAAAAATATTGTAGAGGAAGGATATCCATATCAGACATGTAAAAGCACAAGCTCTCTGGGAAAGAGGAATATTTTTATGATTCTGTGAAATACCTAACACAGTACCATGCTACATACTAACAAGTACCATACTACCACTTAATATGATAGGGTTTTTAAAGCTCATTGATAACTCTAGAGTTGTTTTGCACTAGTGTCCTGAAGAGCTTGTATTCCTGACTGTAAACAAAGACTTGGTGTAATATTTAGGGGGGGGAAAAAAAGAGGACTGGAAAATAATGAAGGGACTTTAGTCCTTAATTTCTATGAAGATAATGAAATTCAACTGTTGTGTATTTCACCATGAGAACAGACAACATTCGCTTGGAAAAAAGGCCCTATAAATGACATAAAACTTTTCAGAACCAATCCCCTGGAGATCCTTCACATTTCATTGATGGCATACTAATTAGCTTGTTTTGTCAAACTTTGATTGCCGTGTCATTTTAATGCAAGATTTAAAGTAACAAAGTTTCTTTCAGTCACTGGCATTTAGTACTTTTTCATTTCCCAGAGAGAGATTTTATCCATGTTGATAATTTCAGAGAATCAGCTAAGCATTAATAACTATCAAGTTAGTTCAAGCAGGGTGACCATGCTAGTATTTGGTGTGTAATATTTGCTCTTTAAACATGTTTAAAAATTAAATATTGTAACAGAGCTATTGTGCTGGCTCTGTGTGTCCATGTGACACTAAAGCAGACAGTGCCAAAATATATGGTGTCTCTTGGAAAAGCAGGACCCCTGTCTCGAGAAACAACTCGGAGATAAAGCGGAACGCTGTATGTCTCCTGGTGTTTGGATAAGAGAAAATTCTTTGTAGCAGTACCAAAAAGGGAGCCTCTGAACCTTCTCTGTGTGGTTGTTTTGTTGTCCCTGGCGGGGGGCTCATGCTGGTGGAAGCCCGCCGGTTCGTCCTTACCAGGTGGAGCAGCAAGGGCTCTGCACCACTGGTGCTAACGCTGCTCTCAGTGCGTGAGGATGAGGTGCCAGCAGGAGGGTGGCAAGCAGAAAATGGTGTGGGGAATGTGGCAGCTCAGCCCCGGATAGCTGGGGTTTGATATGCAGAGGCCGAAAGTAATGGGAGTTCTTGGGCGTGAGATTTTTTTTCACTGGCTGCAAGAATGAATCAGTGGTCCGTGGGATAGATGATAAAGTTTTCTCTCTTGTTGAAAGGTAGACACAAATCTGAACAGTAGTGTTTTACACCCACTTGAAAATACATAATCGACTGCAGAATACCACTCCATAGAGAATTACTAGCAATGTAGTACATCGATTGAGCTAAGGAAAAAATGTTTCCTAAAAAAGTGAGAGCTTACTGCTTGTCATTCTTTTGCATATCTACTTAATCTATTGTGTAGCTAGCTAGCTCACTATTAAGAGTTTATCTCATCTGGAACAAGTTATGTATGAATAGATAACAAGACATTCCTAGTGTATTTTGGCAAAGTGTATTCTCTGATTTCATGCTGTTCATAATCTTCTAAGTTAGTGAACTCCATTTGCCAAGATAAGTTGGGAATATAGTTTCATAGTTTTGCAGAAATTAAGGCCACAAGGGACTATTGGATCATTTGATCTGGCTTTCTATATGTTACAGATCATAAAATTTCATCCAATACTTTCTAGGAAGTTCAAGCACTTTATAACAGCTAAAATACTGGGTCTTCAAACCAGCTTATGTGTCTCACATAAAGAGCAGGGCAGCTTAATGTGCCACCAATGAACAAAGTGTGATATTCCCAGTGATCGCAGTAGTCAGATTTTGATCCCTGACCTTAAAATGGAAGGGAGAGGAAAAAACCTGTACAAAGAGAAAAATAAAATCAGATTGTTCCCATCTGACCCTGGCCTGACCTGTACATGTAAGTACAGTAATCATGGTGGTTCAAGCATGTGAACAAGATGCACCAAGCAGGAGCTTAGGAGGATTTTTTGTACCATCTCGGAGCAGTAGCCCATCATTCTCAGGCTTTGGTCTCTACTTATGGTGAATCTTTAACACTTCAAAGGATAGTTGACAACAAATCGTCAAATCCCAGAAATTAAATCAATACAACCGGAGGAAAGTTTCCTGAAAAAGAAGGAAACTTCATTTGATCCTGTATAGAGAAGTCTGAAGCACTGAAGCATGCGGTGCCATGCTTTTAAGAATCTGGTGCTTCAGGGGGTTCAGAATATAGCACTGACCATGTAAGCAATCCCAGTTTTCCCAGGGCCCTGAATGAGGGAAGGAGTGTGGAGGGCTGAGTTCACCAACTCCAAGGCTGGCAGCCAGGACCTCCTTTTCACACAAGCCCAAGTTGAAGCATTCTTCTCAATAGCTAAATAAAAATACACTTTTTTTGAGAGATCTGAACATAAAAGACTCACAGCCACGGAAGTCCAAATTTTCCCCAAGAGGTAACTGCAATGTTCAATCATTCTTGCTCCTAGAAAATGGCATCTTATTTCAAGACTGAGCTTATCTAGCCACAGCTGGACCTTGAGAGGTTCTTGTAAACAAGATAGAAGGACCCCACACTGTGAAGCGCCTTTTTTAAATACAGGTGTATGGCATATATAGTTATATGCTGTAACCAAACTACCTCTTATTCTTCTTTATGGTAAAATAAATGCCAGTCATCTCCCTACTGGAAGTCCCTCCACTTTGGTACATCCAGAGATCACACTGAGGGAGTGGTTACTGCTTAAATCCAAAGATCTTTTTAGAGTGACAGGTTTTCAAGGCGAAGTCCTTCACTTTGTAAGTCCTGTCTATGTTTTTGATACCTGTATATGTTGTCTTGCATTTAGCTATATTAAAATGAATCCTGTTGCTTTGTGATCATATAGCCAGGCCTCTTAGATGACTGTAATATTACCTTGCTGTCATTATTTGAGACAATAATGATATTTGTTCCGTCTGCAATTTTTACAGTAAAAAACCTATAACATAAAAATTACTGATAAGTTAATACATTAATTTTCTTACCTTGTGTTAGATGTAGAATGTCCTGCATTAAGGAAGTAAACATCCATTTTTAAACATGATTTTGTATGAAACTCTAAAAAATGGTCACGGTGAACATCCAGGTATAGTCTTCCACTTAGAAATTATATGGAATAAAAAGGCTGATTGTCAAGTCCATGTATGTTTCTTTCATTTCTACAGGTATCCTTGGTCAGCATGATTTTCTTTTAATCTCTTTTCAGAAATAACTAGGGATGGTTTAGAATTTCAAAGACAGCAATTTGTGGTACTCTTTCACCTAGTTTTAAGCTGGTTTCAGATAAAAAAAGTACAGTTCTCTTTGGAGGACAACAAAAAAGATTTTAAAAACACTAAATTTCCTGAAAGTGTGATATTTCCCTATATGTGCAGGATATGATGCTGCCATACACAGTGTCCAGATTTGTGTTGTTGTAGCCAACATTTTTTCCTCACCCCTATTTTTTCAGCTCCTGATTAATCTTGTTTAGATCCCAACTCTGCAACGTGCTCCATCAGGGTTAATCTGAGGACATTATCCAAGTATTTTGGCATGAGAGACATAAAACTGACAAAAAATGATAGGAGAATTAAGTCTACATTATACCATAATGGCATGTGTTTCCTTTATGGAAAAGTTTCTGAAAAACCTAACCAAGCTGAAATTAGTAGGGCTCTACAGACATTATTCTACATATATGAGAATATAATAGAAAATTATTTTCCTTTTAAAGTCTTCTTTGACTGTATTTTGGGATTTGAGAGCAGGGATGATATTTCTTAGCATTCTGTGCCATGTTACAAAAGAAAAAAAAAAAAAAAAAGAGAAAAAGCCCTGTGATCATTTTAAGTTTATTTCTATGCGACTTTTTCTATATTAGTTAATTATTCATGGTGAAATCCTCTGAGTAAATGGATTTTGCCGAGGGATGATGGGGATGATCCATAAAGTGCAAGAGAAAGGGAGCTATATATGCCGAGTGGGCAGTATTTTAACATTTCATTTCTATGCATGGCTTAAAATACAAATAGCAAAGCCTGATAAGTGTAAAACAAATTAAAATGACAATATATACTGTTGTTGCAAAGACTCTATGGTAGTGTAGCATCTCATTTGCTATTTACATTGCAAAATTTATGTTTATAAAAGTTCATAAACTGGATGCAGTTCTTAAGAGACTGCATATCCCTAGCTGAGAGCCAGGTGTCCTTTGTTAGGCCATTTATTTCAGATTTTTGTTACTCTGCCTTCTTCGGTAACTCAAAATTAGGTTCTTGCGTAATTCTCAAACCTGGAATTTCAATAAGGTTTTTCATTCCCAGGGTTAATAAATACTGATCCAGCCACTCATTTCCTAATGCCTGTGTAAGGAAAGGAGTATTGTTATCTCAGTGTTATTCACTGCAAAACATAGGCAGAGAAATTAAAGAACTATTCCCATCAAAGCAGTTACTGGGCAGCCTGAGAACAAAAATCAAGATTTTCCCATTTCCACTTCTTAGAAAACAAACCTTTAGTGCAGACATTCCCCAAAATTTTGCTGCTGCTACCACAGCATTTCATAAGGGCGACTGGGGAGAAGGGAGAGGAAAGGTGAACCTACTGTCAAACAGAGAGCGTGGCAAGCGTGGCATCCAAACAAGGGAAAAAACTTTTTAACACTGGAATGAATTTGCTCTCTGTGTCAAGTGTGAACGGTGCCTGCATTGTACGGTTTTGTTGTCCACTCTCCTGAGCAGATGGAGCTTGCAGTTGTATGTTACTTGTTTATTACATCCTCTTAAGATTAGTAGCTGTGTGGCCAGATGGGTCTGGGAGCACAGCTGTGGATACAAGGAAATAAATGAAACCTGTCTGATGCTGCCATGCCCTTTTGTGAGATACTGACGTGTTGCAACTGCAACAAAGCAAAAATCACTTTCCTTTAATATATTAGTGAATTAGATGTACTTTCTTTTTTTTTTAATCAAATCATATGAAATCAGGAGGATGAGGTTCACAGGATGGTACTATTCTAAGAGGAGAATGTAGTTGAAATCTGTAGCAAACAGCCTCAGCAAATTTACAGGAGCAATTTTAATGTGGTAAAATAAATTTAAAGTACATCTCAATTGATCATCCATATAAAATTTAAAGCAAAGGTTTCTACAGAACAAAGACTCCTATAGAGCACATGCCAACTAGGCAGTAGTATTTCAAAGTTTATTAGATGGCATATGTTGAATTATTGATCCAACATTCTGATAAACTATATAATACATTCATGTAAATGCAAATGAAATGCTGTTCTATAGAAGAACGCCAGATTATGGGCTAGACTTTAAAAAATGAAGCTAACACAGTTTTAACTCCTTCGTGGCAGTGGACACACAAAGCTGGTTACAAAGCCACCACCAATCTAGAGATACTGGATGGAATTCATCCTACAGTGCAGGTCTTCACACCAGAGACAGCATCTCCCCTCCCCTTCCAGACTAACGGGAGAAATAGGCATTTTTAGGAGGATACACCTGACCTCTTTTAGAGGGTACAATGAATCTTACACCAAAGAGGGTCAGATACTCCACTTGGATGATAAAGGGTGTCTGATTGTCTAGGTTTGGCATAGGCATCTCCTCTCAGTCCCACTGGCAGAATAGATTTGTTGTGGCATCTTCTGTACCATTTCAGATCAGTTGTTATAAAGTCACCAGACTGTTTTTCTTCTCTCTTTTTAAGTATACAGCTGCATTGTTCAGTTGCAGATAGTTTGTATGTTAACATGAAGCTGAGATTTGGAGGGGAGGTTACTGCTTCTTTTAGTAGAGGGCAAATGGTTTTGGAGGGCACAAACTAACCTGTTGCTTTTGATCACCTCAGTGCATGATTTTAAAAATACATCATGATAATAAGGAATGAAACAGTGCATGTTGTTAGTTGTGGAAGTGGCGCTTTCTGTGAGCTGAAGGAACACAAGGGTTTTTTTCAAATTTCTACTTCTTCTTCCATTGTCTAGCAAAATGAGAGTCAACACTACAGGAAGTGTGCTGTGCTTCCCAGGAAAATAAAAACTTAAAAATGTGAAATACTGTGACTTTGAAAGTAGTGGTGTTATAAAGAAGATGATCATACTATCTTTTATTATATCTGAGATCTAAAGTTGGAGCTTAACAGAGTCCAGCCTTAAGATAGAATATGATGATAGGCAGTCACATAATGAGTATGATGTGTAGTACAAAAACATTTTTCTGCTTCTGAAAGCTGCTATAAATCATGTATACTTTGGAAGACTCCTTTATGTTAATTAAGGAAGATGCAGCAAGTTGCAATATTTCATGGGAAGAGAGGCAAGTGCAAGTGCAAATTGTTGTGCTTTTTCCCTTACTGCAGAGGGGAAGGAAGAAAAGTTTCGTCCAATTCTGAAGGATTTTATAGCTCCATATTGTAACGCATGCCAGGAGGTTGGGAGGTAGAGGTAGCAATTTTCATTGACTTCCACCATACTGTGTTTGCTTCATTAAAAAATTACAAATTTGTTGGCAAAAAGCAGTAACATATTGCTAGAAAACATCAAAATTCACAGTGTAAATTCATAACTTAAATTTGTGTTCAAAACTGTGGTTTACGAATTCTGTCTTTTCTTTTAAAAAAGAAGGAATAGTATAATAAAAGGACGTAAAGCTCCTATTTCTAGGTCAGACCATAGATCTTTAAGCCAAATATCCTATTTCTGGCAGTATATCAGACTCACCAGAATCTTTATTAAGTAAATGGATTTTATAACATTCTGAAATGGTAATCACAAAGAAGAAATCATTAAAGTATCAATGCCTTATGCAATTACATATGTTTGATGTTATTTTGATATGCATTATAGAATGGAAAGAATATTTATTCCTGATTTATCTGAAAACACGGTACTATTTCTAATAGGTTTTGGTTTATTTTTTTTCTCTTATTTCTACAGGAAGTTGCCCTTGTCCTTGCAGCTATACTGGTATTTTTGTTGGCTTTCTATGCGTTCTTTTATCTTAACATTTCCAGTGAAGTTGACCTTGATCTGGATCCAGATGAAAACTAGCAGATGCAATGAATCTATCATCAAGATTTCTTCAACTTGAACAAGACTACGTAGGAACACACAGTCCCTTCACTGTGAGACAGTAAATGATGCCATTTCTTGCAGTCCAAATTCATAAGAAAGTTTTGCAATACATCAGTCACTTTTACATTCCAGATCTCCAAAATAAGAGAAAACTCATGCCTGGCAAGTGTATTTGGTTAACACCAAAGCCAGGAGCAACAGTACAATACATGAAGTTTATTGTTTACATTATTTTTTTCTCAGGCAGAGAACTTTGATGTCAAAAGACAGGTGCTATTATTATCATGAGTATTGATGCTGACTTCACAGGAGGAGAGTCTGCCTTGACTAAATTTAGGAATCAAAGCTTCCTAATAGCCAAATTAGGTTCCTTTTCCTTTCCCAAAAGAAAGCAGAAATACCAAACAAAAAGTCTTTTCTTGATTCATATTTAAAATATATCAAAACTCCCTCATCCTTTCTCTCCCTTTTAATCTTTCTTGTGCATGTGTGCACACACGCGCGCATGAAGATGGAAGAAATTGTAGGAAAAAAATATCTTTTTAGAGGCAGTCTGTCACCTCCTATATGGACTTAATTTTATGTCATCCCAGATTCTGTGTGCCCATATATCTGCAGTAATCTTTTTCATTCTTTTGCCAACTGTTCAGCACACATGTGTTCTGTCAGAAATGGCACCTGGATGACAGAAGCTCTAACATTCGCATATGCCTCTGAAACACAGTTCTTTGCCTCCTGTGCTGTCTGAACTAGTGTAAATAGAAAGTTCAGTCGATGTTGGTTTTAATTAGTGTATTGCTCTATTATTAATATAAAGTCAAAATCATATTTTAATTATACTCTTCTTGCTGGCTGTGGTATCAACTTGCTCTACCTGTCAGGGGGATATTGTAAAAAAAAATGCTCTCCAGTTATACAATCATTTTAATCATCAAACTAATGTGAGAATTTGTAAGTATTAAGAAACCTTTTTTTTCATGCGTACTAATAATTGGGAAAATCTTGGCTCTGTGACATTCTTCAGTTCTTGCAAAGCACCTTTCAGAATATGCACTGTAGATAACATTTCTGATCCCTTTGATAACCACAAGCTACTTGAAGAAGCTGGTATGTCAAAGCAGCTGCAGGGAGCTGTAAAATTCTGGCTTTATCCTGTTCTGCTTCAACTTTGGCTTGTAACTGAGCTTGTGGTTGTAAAGTTTCGGTTTTGATCCTTTTAAAAATGTGGTCAGTCTTCCTCTAGTTCGGGTTCACTTTGATACCAAGAAAAGCATAGAGCCATTGATACTGAATGTGGCAAGGAAGTTAAGCAGATTGACTTCCAAAAAAGAATTATCATAATTCTGGAATTGTATTAGCAAACTATCTTGGGTTTATCTTTTATATCAATTTCAGGGCTGAATGTTAGGTTTAGTTGCAATGGAGATATTTACTGACTTGTTCCAGAAATGCCTCACTAAGGTTTCTTATAGTGATTTTGAAGACAAAAGGATACAAATCATAGCAAATATTATAATGAAAAATATATTTATTTTAAATTGACACAGTCCTATTATCACCACTTAAGGAACTTAGATCAATATAGTTAATTTTTAAACCATATGGTAACTATGACCATATACATTATGAGTCTCTAAGGATCCAGTTCTTATCTGTCATACTACTCATTCACTTTATGCAATGCAAAACAACTCCTCTAGAAATTCAGAGTACAAGTCTTCCGAGAAGATATGAAAGAGAAGCATAAACATATATGTGCAGATATTTCTCATTTTCTAATTATGACTGTTACAGACACAACCTTAACTTTTATGCATTCATATGACTTACAGTCTACTAATACTTGCACACATGACCAAACGCTTAGCAACATGTTGCATTTATGGTGAAGCATTATCTGACACATGGCCCGACTTTCAGTGGAGGGAAAAAGCATATCACAAGCTGTCTCCTTGGATGTGACATGCCTTTCACTTCACTGGTGCCACACCACATGTCACAGAAGCTGCAGACCTCTCCTGTTACTTTGCATGAGAAATTTTCTTCTTCTGTAAAATGCTGGAAGGATTGCTTTCTTAATGTCTGCACGTAGGTCTCTGGGTGATGTGTGTTCTGAGAATGATGTGTAGTTATCCCCTTCACACAGGTTGTCTTGTAACTTGCTTTCTGAATCAGTTACATAAAAAAGCAAGCTATTCTTCCTATCAAATTTATGAAATTCCTAGAATAGAAAGATTGCATTTCCCATAATTATGGCTCATAGACAAAATCTGAAACGCATATATGTGTGATTGAAGCAGCTTCCCTGATTTGTGGCTTATCAGTCCATACCGCCCGTAAGTGCCATAGTTCGCAGTTTGTCTGTTGGCTTCATTTAGGTTAGGCCTTTTCATTCACATGAAAGATGATATTCTCATGTAACAAGAAAATACCCTTTTGTTTAGATAAACTGGATAGACCTCTGTTCAGTGTACGCAGAAATACATGGCAAATATTGCAGTAAATACACTTTTTCTCTTATCAGTACAATAATTTCCAATGGGACTATGTCAGTAGTTTCTTACAGCTAAAGACTCCCATTTATCATCAAATTATTCATCCTTGGTTTTCTAAAAGACACAAGCACAACGTATTAGCGATGAGGTCTGATTCTGATCTTACTAATTTATGATTCCCCTGAGTTCACTGATACTACAACTGATTTACTCCAAGGGAAAATCAGAATCTGACCTGAAGTTATTTCTGCTTTCTGGAGCGCTACATTGTCCATGACTGATATTTTAAAGTAGAGACCAATTTTAATCTTGCAAACATGTGGCTTATCTTGCCCTTAATTATATCTGAGATCGAATGCCTCTTGGTTTTTGGACCACCTATCTTTGTATGAGTTGCTCAGTGTCTATTTTAATAATAAATGTATTTTTACTATTTTTGTGCTCTTATTAATGTTGGATGTGTCACACTGAATTATATATATATACGTTTGAAAGGACATTAAAGCAATCCAGCACAACGTTCAAATGTGAGCAGTGATACTCACCAGTTTTAGAATATCTGTATTATTCTAGGCATTCCTAGCCCCTAAGCTCCTATTAAAACTAAGTGTAGCCTATGAATACTTAAAAGATGATAAAGAGAACTTCCCTTGGCGTTCTACTCAATACCAATAGAGCACATCTCTTTCTGTGGACAACATTTTTCCGTGTAGCTCCATGAACTTCAGATTGACTTTATTGTAGAAGTAATACTTTTATACACTTGTTTCAAAGAAAGATTGCTGATCAAACCATTTACACAGCAGCACTAGCTTAATGCAGCAGTTTTTGTCAAGGATATTCACCTCTGGGGAAAGGGTAGATGTCAGTATTGTTGCCCTCTGCTTGTGGAGTAAACTGAATTTCTTTCCAGCAGAGGTTGTGGAGGAGATGCCTGTACTGAGTCCTCACGCTGTGGGTGGGAGTAGGTGTCCCATCTGGAAGACTCTCTGGCTAGGAAGGCACAACAGCCTTCCAGTAGTGATTTTGCTCAGTAAATCTTTCCTCTGCAGTTTTCCTTTTCCCTTTGATCCTACAGAAGCAGAATCAGCATGTAGACCGTCTCAGGACAGAAGCCTCAATATAGTAGTTTTACTAGTGCTGCTGGTGAACATTGCCAAGGAAGGGCTTTCAGTCTATTTCCTAGAGTCCATAAATATATTTTACTGGAAGCTTAGGAGGCATGTTAAGCATTTCCCTAATGGACCTTAGGCATATATTTAAACTTTTCTTGAAGAACGCTTTATTTAAAGTTCACTGTTGCGTATCATATAGACATCATGTGATTCAGGATCTGTCATAGCTCCTTCTGTGCGTCAGACCAGCTGTAGCAGGGACGACACGTAGACTGTGAGATTATGCTGCATCACATAACTGCGAACATACGCAACATGAGCAAACTCATCTGTTTAGGTGTCATCTAGAGTAGTTGACCTAACAAGTTGTGTTTGAAAACAAACGCTTTTTAAACAACCCTACTAAATGAAGGCACAGTGAAAGGCCCACAAAACCGCTCATCCCATTTCCGTGAAAATTGCTACCATGAAGAGGCTTATCTGCTGCCTTGGGGCCAAGTTTTGAATGCTGCCCTTTCAGGAAGGAAAATGTTGCTAGCAGCTCCCAGTAGAGTAATGATTCATTTTGCTTTGGTACAGGATTGTGCCTATAAGGCACAACTGAGCCAGTTGGTAAAGGTCACATGCATTCAGGACGGTTCTCCATAAAGGACTGTACTTGAAATGCAGACTAGGCAAGTTAGAGTGCCAACAAACAGAACACTACAGATCTTGATCGCATTTCAAGTTTTACTTACAGTAGCATAATAATTAGTGGTGCTTATGACTAAGAAAATAACAATATGGCACATCAATAAGACAGCAGAAATGTGATGTTGGAACTGCTTCTTAAAAGATTTTGTAGTGGATTATGCCTGCACTTTGGGAAATGAATCCATGAGATGAATAAACTGGCAAAGATTGTCTGTGATCTTATGCTTACAATATTTTTCCCTGAAAGAGCGGATGGAGATATTTTGCAACACTTTCCCCCTCATCCTCTTAGTTTGCTGTAATACATTCTTTTGTAGATGTATTTCTACACTTTTCCAAGAGTGGAAAAAATTTTTCTGTAGTTCATCAATGCATTTAATTGACAGAATCCTCTACTTTTCCTTTTATCCCCCTTAATCACAACCAAATTGGTGGAGAGACAGCCAAAATGTTAGGTACTAGTGTCTCTCAAGCAGATGTCACACCACTATTTTTTAGCTCGTTTAAATGAATAAACATGTTAAACTGTGAAGTATTACATTTTAGATTTTTTCATTAAAAAAAAATGGGACAATCTGTTTACTGTCCTTAATTGAGACAACAATCCTGGTGGTTGCCAGTTTTGGCAGTTGTAATGATGAACTATAAATATTGGGACAAATCAACTAACTGGTGATTGTGAAGGATAGTTCAAGTGGAAGCCTCATTCTGCATGAATACTTTTTTTCAGTGCTATATTTTTTCTAACTTCTATAATTGTTATACTGGTTTTGCATGTTAAAACCACAAATAAATACATGACTAGTCAAACAGTAGGCTTGATTCTGTTGTCTTATTCTGAATCACTAAAGAAAATGATAAAAGCTGACAGCCCTGCAGCAGAGTTCATGCCTTGCCCAAATTCTCCCTAAAAGGTGCTTGTTCAGGTCAGTTATAAATGTAAGCTATGAAGAGCTTCATTTTGCTGAACCTTGGAAAAACTGAGCAGCACGTAGATCTTTGGGAGTTTGCCATTTCACAAAGAGATTGTAGGAATTTTAAAGAGTGAAGCCACAGAAGGTGAGTATGGTGTTTGGTGACAAACTGATGTCATTCTCCTATTGCCGTTCCTCTGGGAATGAGAGTGGAAGAAAATCAAAGTGAAATGGCCAGTTCTACCAGGAGACAACCACCTCACAACTCACCTTGTTGCTCAAAAAGAAGAGAATAGAAGCAAAGCTAATTCTGTTATCAAATCAGAGTTTTCTCAACTTCTTATTTTTCACAGGGCAAAATAAGGTCCAGGAGGACATAAAGATGTCTGAAACAAAGCAGCTTCTTACTGGATCAAAGGTTCATTTATTTAAGTAATGGTGTTTGAGGGATTTACACAAAGCATGAGTCAGGCTAATTGCCGCTGCCTTCGTGTATAAAAAAGAGTCACATTGTGCCAAGCTAGAGTAGCTTTGTGTGTCTGTTATTGAGCTAATTGTAAATGTACTGATACTGGCAATGTCCCTGTTTCTCTAGAGACACCTTTGTCTCCTGTGATACTATCAGCAGAGAGGAGGGACAGGGAAAGGACTGGCAGGGGAGCCCTTTTGCTGATTCTGCACTCCTAAAGTATCGCCCCTGCTCAGCAGGGAGCTGCTGGTGTTTGGAGTAGAACTGCGGTCCTGGATTGCTTTGGACAGGCTACAAAAGAGAACAGAGCAGAGCTTAACCTAGAGGGCGAGTCTCCTACCATCACTGGTGCCTGATCTGTTACCACAAATAAATAGAAGCTGAGATGTTCAGGCTCTTTACTTTTATTTATTAGGTTCTCAGGGAGGTGCCAGAAAAATTGTCTTTTGTTGTCCTTTTGAAACTTTTGGTAGGAAAGCTTATCCTTTTCCAAGGAGGGGCTGAGAAGCGACCTGCCATCTCCCCTGCTCTCGCCTGGCTGAAGCTGAAGAGGCCTCAAGTAGCTATTGCTGTGTACTATAGTAAGACTTGCTCTGGTTTGGGAAGGACAACAAATTCTGAATTCAGGGCAGCTTTATGCAGCCTTTCCTACCTGAGGAGCCTTCAGGGCAGTGGGCATGTTGAAAGTCAGGTTTTTGATGGCTTCCCTTTTGATGGCTTCAGCTTCTTCTCATTTAAAAGATGAGCTAAGGTGCTATGATTGTCTAGTTAAAGCACAGCTGTTTTAACAACAGTGTCATGGGTTCTCCCTGCCCTAATGAGCTTGTGACTGTTCCTTCTTAAAAGACAGACAATCATATTTGTGTTTATCTGTTCATTAATTGTAGCCATTCTCAAGCTGGTCTTCCCAGGCAGTACTTTACCTTTATGCCACTGTGTCTCTGCTGCTCCAGTAATAATGGGATGTGCTGAACAAAGAGAAGAGTAGAGTGGCTTCTTCAGATCATTACCAAAGCCACAAATTCATTTAAAGTTAGACAATATATGTTGGGGGAATTTTCCCAGTGCATTATATAGATTTTTGACACCTGCTCAGTTCTTGTGAATGCCATTTTACAGTCCTTGCCCTTATACATGAAAGCATGTGAGTTCACGTTAAAATAAGCAAGTTACAAACATGATTGTGTTATTCATGAGAATATGTCAGGTTTTCTTTTTCTCATTAAATCATTCATCAGCTGTTTTTAATTAATAGAAAAGTGGCTTTGTTTGTGGGTGATACACTTTGGTCAAATGTAGCTTCTCATCTGAAATGTTACAGAATGATAATTACCTCCCTTTGGTTAAGGGTTGCCTCAAAATAGGAATTACCTGTAATATGTATGACTATTTCTCAAGACTGTGATGCTGAAATTCGGTAAATTCTCCACAGAAATATCAGCTCTATGACTCTAACAAGAGCAATGGTTTTGAAATTTTTCCTTGTCAACAAGTTTTACCTTTTGTATTAGGAAATTTTCAAGCTGATATCATGATGGAGTGGGTAATGCCTGAAGGACAGCTGAAAAGAACAAAATAAGTGCTTCAGAGACTCTTCACGTGCATTATTCAACCCCTCGTATACACACTGCTGTGACTGGACTATGTCAGTGTTACGGGGTGATGGAGAAACAACACATGAGACAATCTAATTTGCTTGTGATTGTTGCACCCTCAAACTCACAGGGGCAAGTGTTTCTGCTACAGTATGTTATGCTTATACACAGAAGAGATGTATCTTATGAAATAAATTTCTATGTAGAGAAGTTGTTAACTTTATTTTGTACATCTTCATGTACAATATACGGATAGAAGAAAGAACAAAATGCTCCCTGTGAGCAAGGGCATTTGGAAACAAGAATCATTCCTGCAGCACAGGAGTTGTGCATAGTCATAAAACATGTTAAGTTTAAAAGATAATACAAATACAGAAGGAAAGTTTTCATTACACTGATGATTTATAAAGGATAAAAGCAAGCCTCACTCCTGTCATATATTCATCGTTCCTTACAGTACAGATCTCTAGAGTAGTTTCCACAAAGCTGTTATTCCCCCTCTTCCACCACTAGTGTGGGGATCATCATTGCCAGCTCAGAATGAAAAATGATCTTGTATTTCCCATAACTTAAGAAAATTAAAGTATCCTTGTTAAGCATTGAGTTATTCAGTAGCTTTGAAAGGGCCTGCCAGAGGGTATGTATAATAAAGTATAATGCAAAGTGATGTAGAAAAACAGAAAAAAATATAACTGACTTTCAGCCAATCAGCTAACTATGGAGCTGGCCTGTGGGTCTTCAGCATTTCCTTGCTGATTCCTTGCAAAGCCTTGAGGAACAGATCTGTCATATCCACTCATCAACATTAGTTACCATCTTAGTTTTCACGTCTGTTGTAAAGAATTAAAACTTCAGGGTCATTGGTCTGGAGAAGGCTGGTTTTGATCTTTGCACCTAGATCATGGCTTCCAGCTTGCTCCGATCAAGGCTCTTTGGCAGATTCCTTCCAGACAGCCGTGAGCATTTTGAAAAGAGACTGCATACTTTTCTATCAGGTTAGCAATGAGATAAGATGAAGACACTGAAAAAGTGACTCATCCACCCTTGGAGAGAGAAGTATTTGCTGAGGTTGTCTGGCAGTGGGGTACCAGATATGTCAAGCTCCGTATGAAGGGAGGAGTGAGCCCGGGCAGACAGATTCTCAGGATGTCAGCAGGGACTAGATGCAGATGTACTGCCAGATGCTTCTTCTTATGCACTCCCTTCTCCAATGGCACAAACCCAAGAAAACTTATGAGAGGACCCCAGTGCAGTCTTGCTCTTCAGGAGTAAGAGTCGAGATCATGAGAAGTATCTCTCATGCTGAAAAGTTGGTCAATTCATTAACAACTCAGGATTATAGGAACTGCAAGTGCTAAAATAAAGCTTCCTTAACCTAACAGCAGAGGTTCATTTGTAAATGTACCTTCACGGAAGTCTAGGCACACTATGGATAACCAAAGTTTAATACTTGTAATGGGGAAATCTGTGCATCTGACTGAGAGAAAAAAAAATAAAAAAAAAACAAAACAAAAAAAACATTTAAATGAGAAATACATTTATTCTATTCCAGTGGAACTACAGAGGCCCTAGCTCTGATGGGGTCTGAGGAAGGAGTCATGTACACTAATGATGTCTGCTTCCTTTCATCATGTGCTAGTAACAGGGTAGCACTTCTTTCTACCCAGCCAACAGGAATACTTCAATTAAGTAAAACAGGATTACAAAGCACCAGGGCACCAGGCTACCTAACTACCTCAGTTTAGAGAGGTGGAGAAATAAAGCTCGCAGTTCATTAAATTATAATGTAAATAGATACCCCACTATTACGTGCTTCACAGCCAAATACCGAAAACAGATCCACCAGCAACATGTTCACGCACTGTCAAGTTCTGTGTCTCAGAAACCTTGAGGAATACAGAGACTGTCACATGTGTGAGAGATTTTGTGTTATGTTGCTCCTCTCAGGTGTTCCTTGACCTTAGCATAGGTTGGAGTTGGTAGGCTAATGCGGAGGAAGATGGATATTCTGTAAAACCTCTACTATATGCCAGTTTTAATCATTTAGAAGCAGACATCACAGCCGTCCTTGGAGGTGGAACTGGAATAAAGTACTCTGGGAAAGACAATGTTGTTTTTTGGAAAGAACAGTGGAAAAAACTTTGGGCAGTCAATGTCCCAGCGGAGAAATAATCAGGGATGTGGAAGGCTGAATAGCTGGTCCTGAAATGAGGACAGCAACCACAACAGAGCAGCCCCTTCCTCCAAAGCCTCAAATCCAGAGCAGTGCCGTGGCCCAAGGGAGCAGCGCTGCCTCTTCACCCGAAGCCTAAGCCTTTGGCCAGCTCGCTCTGCCTAGGAGCTTGGGAAGAACAAACCTTGTATGACCCTTCAACAGCAATTACACAAGATGTGTCTTCAAGAATGAAAATTTGCTCATAGGAGAAAAGAGCTTGTAAATCTCTGTGTAATACTATCACCCACCAACACCCACTATTTGTGAATTATATCACTGGCTTTCATCCCTCTGAAAAATAAAGTTGATTTGACTAACACTGTAATTTTCATGATGACTTGGGTTTTGGATAAATGGCAGCTGCATTTTTAGCAAAAAGCCCACTCAAGACAGTGGCTTGATGCACTGCAGCTGGCACAGGTCACCCTTGCTCACAGAGATGGGGGCAGCATTTCTGGCCGTTTGCACTGGAGGAGGCAGGAGTCTGTGCATGGTTATGCCCTCGCGAGCATCTCTCCCAGTGGTATTGCCTGCTCTGGGGGTCCCTCTGAGTCCCTGCAGGGTCAGGGCGGCTGATGGTGTTCCCTGCTGCTGCATCAGCCTTCCGAGCAGTTTAGGTATTGGCAGGGCTTATCTGTGCAGTAGACTGGAGCAAGCAATGCCCTGGAGGCAAAATCAAGGCAGGAATGCGCGTGGGAGGATGAGCAGAAGCCCCAGGGGACACAGAGCCTATATGCTAAATTGTCAGGAGGTATCTAAATCCAGCTCCAGTCAGGAATTAAGGGAATTTAGAGGTTGGTTTGGTTTAGGGTTGATTCTCCGCTGATCCTGAAGGTACAGTGAACAACTGCCCACGCCAGGAATCTCTGGCGAGCAGAAGGCAGTTGGGAGTTGTGGATGTGTGAACATGCCTCCGAAGGGCTGCAGCCCTCCAGGCTGTCTGCTCCCTGTCCACAGTGGGACCACAAGTGACTTCTGCAACAACCTATCTGGTAACCCACTGACCCATGGCAATATTAAATTTACTTCTGGGCGTGCTTGGGTGTGTGGGCCCATGATCTCTGAAGAGCTGTCCCCAGCTGCTCCCAGGAGAGCCCATGTTCGTGGCCTGTATGAAGGGTGAATATGCACAAATATGCATTAATATTGCTTTGAGAAAGACTCTGTGGGCACATACAAAGTAATTCAACTTTTGGTGCAAAGGTTCCAAATTTGCTCTGGCATAATTATATCCTTTTTGTTTATGACTTGTGACTTGGGGTTTTTTTGATGTTTCTCACACATCTGTATCTCTAACCACCACTGAGATTTTAGCAGAGCTTTAGGAGACTGTATCACTTTCTGTCTCCCACACATATGTGTGTTTTCTTATGCTGCATTAAATAAGATGTTTTGCACTCCCTGTATTTTGCAGGAAGCCAGTATGGCAGAGTTGTGACTTCTGAATAGTTCTGAATTGAAAATTGAAAATATAGGGAAAATCTAGACCCTCATTTCCAAAAAAATAAATTGAGTAGTTGTATGCATTATTTAGTCATGGATTAAAATACTTATGTCTAATTATTAAATCATTAATAATTTCAATACTTTAAATATTTTAATTAAATCTACCACTCTGAATAATGCCAAATTCATTAAGATAAAAGCAGTAGGTTGGGATGAAAATAGACGTCTTAGAAAGCTGTTCACTTTGCTCACTGTGTGATGCCAGGAGGCTTCATCCTGAGACTTTCTCAGAACAAGTTTCGCAGCCATTGGGAAGCTGCAGTGCTGGCCCGATTTTTCCTTCCTCCAGTATGGTGCTGGGATAGCTGTACAGCTCAAGATTTTCCCATTAGGATGAGGCAAATCTCAAAAACCTAGTAATTACTAAACACCCCATAAAACTTTTCTCCAAAGCTAAGGGGTTTTAGCTGTGGTTTTCCTACAAACCTCGGTACAAATAATTTCCCTTTCATTATAGTTAGTTGTAGCGCTTCTCCCTTATCCTGATCCTAATCTATCACACAGCATTGACATTAACCGTGTTTAAGCAGATGTTGTGATCCACTCCAGAGATGGCTGCATTTCAGTAACTGGTTAAAGTGGTCCCACTGCATTATTTTGAAAAGTTTGTAGAATGATTTGAGGGGAAACATTCTATTTAAATGTAAATTATTTTACTATTATCATTATTATTATCAGCAGCAGCTACTAGGGGTGAATAATAACAATCTATTTTATCCACATTGAGTAGAAAGAAGCACACAGAGGAATACAGCAGAGGTATTTGTCTACTTATTGCTTAATGTGAATGGACTCATAGTTTATTATCAGCCTTGTATTTTTTGCCTTGACTCAGCTAGCACTAAATGTAATGAAAACAGTTTGGAGGTATTTGTCTGAATTCAGTAAACAAATTGTTTTAAACGGTTTTGAACATGAATTTCACATTATGGCTTCGTTTTCCTGGCAGGCTTTATTATTCCATTGTAGGACATCATTACGCTGACCATGTGAAGCACTTAGAGAAATGGTTTACAGATGCATCTCACCTGTTGCTTATTGTGACAAGATTCATACCATTAAGAGAATGGCTGTAATATGTTCTACATGGAAATCTGCTACATGATTATCTAAACATGGTGCATATAATTAATTCCTAATAAAATCTGGATCAGTCTTGTTACCATTGCCTGTTCTCCAACAGTGGGGAAAAAATCTGTCATTTGTACCTCTGAAGTGTGCTGGCTGATGGCAGAAAAATATTTGGAGGTTCCCAAATACAAACCCCAGGCTTTAAGAGAATTCAAGAACAATGAAGGTTTTACCCATCACAACACTCTACCATTACAGTATGCAATTTCTCAGTCCCTGATCCTTAACTGGGTGCCCAGGGTCCATGACCAGCACATGGAGGTGCCCGAGGGTGAAGCGTGCTGCCTCGCCTTGATCACAGGACACGGACATGTGGAAGTCAGGAGCCTGTCTGAAATCCCATGTCCTTCCCCAGTTTTGATTGTCTTTTTAATAGGCTTTTGAATGTCTGTGCCATCATGAAGACTTATCCCTTTACCTACCATCTGAATGGTCTCTGGATGGTAAGTGGCATAAATCATCTCTGTCAAAGGTGGGTGTTGCGGATGAAAGTATTAACACAGTAATAATTTAACAACAAATCAAGATTTATTATTAACTAACAGGACTTGATCATTAACCAGTTTAAAGATGTACAAAATAATTCAGAAAAAATATGTTATAATTAAAATAGCAACTTATCTACAGATTCTAAGATTACAAGATTCACTCTAGCTGACTATATGGTATCTTAAATCAATACATATATGCACACGCATACACAGATACAAAACGTACAAACACACACAGAGACAAAAGTATTCGGATCCAGTAGAATGAAGTATGTACCCACACACAACAATAAGCAGAGAAAGAGTAAGAGAAGCTAGCTCAAAGGAAAAGTTCCCCCCTCTCGAGTTTAGAGTGAATACTCACAATGCCTTGGCATTCCTCAGTGGGCGATAGTAGAGTTGACTTTGCCCTGGCCTTCCGTCAGCTCTGACAGCAGATGACACCTTGAGGTTTTTAATACCTGAGAGGTGTTCCACCTCAGGGGAGATTCTGGTCACAGGCTAATACTGCAGTAGCTTAGAAAAAGGGAAGACTCCAGTGGCCATATTTCAAAAGAAATTGATAGCTGCTGTTGTGTTTTATGTAAAATCCAGTTTTGGAGCTGTTTGGTAGTAATTTTCGGAGTGCTCAAACCAGCCCTGGGGGAAGATAAACAGAGGAACATATTTTTGGGGTCCTAACTAAGCTGGTGTCTGAACTGGAAGTTGGTCAACTTGACCTTTTTAAGACCAAAGAGCTCTTGAGTACGACCAGAATTCAGGATGTCTGGGGAACTTTTGTACTGTCAGCTGAAGTCAGGGAGAGATTGGAAGCCTCCTGAAGTAGACAGCAGAATCTGTGTTTTGTACGTGAGCACATAAATTCCACCTCTGTCAGGTTTTAAGTGTCTAAATCCTTTTCTGAGTATGAAGATGTGACAAATATATGACCACCCTTTAATATGAATGCCAAGTGGCTTTTTCCTACTTATTGCACAACCCAGGAAGTTTCTATACCTTAATTTATACCCAGTGTATGTTGAAAAGCACTTTAATCCTGAATTTTCCTTCCACCATTTCTTGCTAAACTAGCATGCAGTGGGCATGAAAACACATGAGGGGTTTCTATAACAACAATGTGAAATAATAAATAGCACAAAGCAACTCTGCAATCTCCAAATAATGTAAATGTTTTTTTCATTTAATTACTATCCACATTTCTGTCCAGCTTCAGAATAATACAGCTGCAGAAGTAATTAATTAATATAGGAATGCAGTTTAATAACAGCACAAGGGTTCTGTGCTCACCCGTTGGTTACGGGCACTAGCTAGCATGCTGATAACAGGTTGTTGCCATTGTTGTCACCTCATTAGAAAATTAGCATTTAATTACCTTAGGAAGATATGGAACAATTTTGATATGGGAAATATTTGTACACATTGTCTATTGGAATTGAAAGCTCCCATCCAGCAAAAAGCACAGCAGCCTCTACAGCTGGTGGCTGTTGGCCCACAGAAACTAAACAGACTCGCCGGTCTGTGCAGCTGCAGTCGCTGCCTTTGATTTGGAGGGGAAAGGGAAGCTGTGAGCCGCACTCGTCTCTGAGGCATCAGATGAAAGGAGCGATCCAGCAGTGGCGTTGGCGCTCGCCTTGCAGGCACTGTAGCAAGTCCCCGGCAGCCTTAATGCGTGGCCAGTGCCAGCCCTATGAACTGTCAAGTAAAAGTTCTGAAGGGAAGATGGCTCTGCTTCAACCCGGGCCTGATGCAGCCTCCCCTGAAGCCAGTGGGAGTCTTTCCACTGACGTCAGTGGGCTCTGGACGGCCCCGCTAGGGTTTCCTGGCCCGAGAGCCCCGGTGCTGCCAGGAGCCAGATGCAGGGAGAGGCAGATCAAGCTGAGCAAAGGTTAACCACTGCTGGTCTGGGGCGGGGAGAGGGTGGGGAGGAGAAGGGGACGGCAAGAAAGGGGAGGGGGCTGCCAAAACCCAACTGGATTTTCCTGCTGTTTCTTTCTTGCTGTTGACACTGGCTGAATGGTCTCGGGTTTGATTTAGATGCTCTTGTGGATGAGAAGATCCTCTTCAAACTGCAGTGTTGAAAAACAGCCTTAAATCTCCCGCTAGCAAACACAAAATAGAAAAAAATCCCTGGTTCCTAGGGTGATTTGTTATTGCGACCGAATACTTTTATTTAGGTTGATGCAAAACCAGAGGAACA